CGGGAACAGGGGGTGGATCCACCCCTTCCTCTTCCTCCTCCTCGAGGATGGGCATGAGCTGATGGGCGATTTGACCTGAGGCTCCGGTGCCTGCGTGTTGGCGAGAGGACGACCATGGAGTACCAGGCCGGGTGGGGGGGCTGCCCTTGCGCAGGCCATCTTCGTCCGAGCCAGGGCAGCACGCGTCTCCGTCATAGTTCAATGTTGTGTAATCGATAGCTCCGTGCACATCATTGATAGGTATGGTCGCGATGGTGCCGTCTGCAGCCCAGCCCTGGCCGCTAGGGTCAGAGGGCCCGTTTGGCCCCATTGTCCCGCTCTCAGCCCTTTGAATCCCGCTGCCAGCCCTTTGGGTCCCGCTGTGGGAGGGTTTCGCTGGCGATGATGTTTGTTGACCGGAAGAATCCCGCATGGCTGAGGATTGCTGCGCTCGAAGTAATGGGTATGGGGAGGGCAGAGACAAGTAGGATGGGAGTTTCTGGAGTTGTCAAGGGGGAGCACAATGCCGAAACTCATTGTCCATCTCATGTCATCTGGAGTGAGGGTGCACCTCGGATTTTATGTTTCCTTATTGTTCTTCGTCAAGTTCACCGACTTCAGCTGTCCCCGTTGTGTTTTCTCCTTTCTCATCGTAGGCACAACGCCCACCAGACACGCCGTGGGCCTTTTCTGTGCGCTCCGCAAGACTGGCGAGCGCAGCGACCGGGGATAGAGGACACTAACGCCTCCCGTCCCGCCATGGACCTGGTCGTTCTCGCAACAAGAGTGTTCTGACCATCATCTGGGCAGGATGGGCGGCAGAGACGGATCAGACCAGGGCATGTCGATCACGCCAGGACCGCCCGGGCAGGCACTGGTTGCCTCCGCAAGAAGGTAAAGACAGAATGGGTTATGATGATCAGAACTCATGAAAGCTGGCTAGCTTGAGATGTGACCAGGAATGCGCCCGTGTACGAGTCCAGATACAAGCCGGGGTGGACGGGTCAAGCGGGTTCGAGGCCCATGTGCTGCGATCTGCCACAATACCCTGTACCACCGTCGACGCCACCAGAGACGAAAGTTTTACCAGGGACTTACTATCACAGGGGGGCACTCCTGTTTCCAGCCGGAACCCTGGGTTGGTAGCATTTGGGGATCGGCCGTCGTGTTTTGTTGGCACTCAAACGTGCGGACGGCAGAGATTCATCCCAATAGTGTCATGCACGATTGTGTGCGCAGGATGGATTGGACGGACGTGCGCGGAGCTGGCGACGAGTGACGTCGAGCTTCGAAAATATGAGTCAATATCTCTAATCTGGGGGATTTAATTTGTATTGGCAATGTGGGCAGGAGGCGCCACCGAGGACGAAAGCTGCCATCGATCGCTTGGGTGTTCGATGACTGAGGCCGTCAGGTTTCAGACGCCGGCAAACCGGTGAGAATCCGCGGGCACGACTGCAGCTGTAGTGCTCTGCTCTGCGTTCGCGTGTTTTCTTCAGCGATTCCTGGGCACGATGGCGTTCGAAGTACGGCATCGATCCTGACTCGATCTCATTGCTTCATTCTTCCACTGTTAGGGATACAACGAGCTGCCATCTTCCTTGAGCGTTCGTCTCTCAAACCGGGATCACGTCTCCTCGTTTGTCCGGAGAGCGCGCTCTGGCTTGTATACGAGATGACCCTTGCCCTGTATAAAGAGCCATTGTCTCTCCTAACCCGATGAGATGGGTGTGTGGGGTGTGGCTACGGGAGGCAGGTTGATGGCCAGGACTTCAATTCTACATGCGTGTTGGGTGAAGCACAACTCGTGCGCTACTTCACTCCATTTGCGAGCCCCTCCTCGGTTTGCCGCTCATCCTTGAAGTCTCAAACTACTGTAGAAGGTGGCGCGGCTACCTCATCAGGCGCGTTAGGAGGAGGGCCCTGCCTTGGGAGGCAACTGGGAACCATGCTTCCGCTCAACAAGGCTATGTACAGCCTCTGTAAAAGGAAGGTCTCACACTGGAGGTCAGTGTGTCTCAGGCATCACGCAGCAAGGGGTGCCATTGAGCGAAGAGAAGGGTCAGAGGGCTGAGGAAGGAAACCGGCTCATTGGAGATCGGCGCCATCAAGACCTTGCAGTCTCCTCTGCGGGCTCAAGCTACCCTAGCCAGGGAGGGGTGCACTCGGCCGTTGGTGCCCTTCTTGACAGCAGCCATTGTACACGTCCAACCGAAAAGCACAGACAGCGTGCCGACTTGTGCGCTGCTCGGTGACCTGTTTGGTTGCGTTGGCAGTTCGAATGTGGTGCAGAACATGGGTCTGTATGGTGTTGCAGTAGCGAGCAGCGGAAGGGGCTCAACAACTACGAGGGGTCGCCGTGTTGCACTGTGCCGAGCCGCTTGAGAAGACCTGGTTGAGGAGCACAGACAACGTCAACCCTGCCTTGGCGGCTGTTTGGGGGCATGGCTTTTTGTTTCTCTCGGTAGGCGTTCGGGAGGGTGATCCACCACACGCGTCCGTGTCCTAAGATTGCTCCCCAAAAAGCACGTCACGTCTTGACGGGGAGGCGGGGGGACGGAGACGTGCCAGCCTCATCGCACGACTGACCCTGGCGCCCTACGGCACCTAGTCATTGCCTTGATTGCTGGGGTGACATCGGCTCACGGCGGGCGTCTTTCGTGCCCTGTCACTCACATGCATGCCTGCCTGCCTGCCAAAAGGAAATGGCGTCTATAGACTCAAGTAAAATTTCCATCTAGATCGATCAAGTTCTGTGCGGTCCGTCTAAGGGTATCATCATCATACCGCACCGTGGCTATTGTACACCGACAAGCAGGCCTGTCTAGCTCGCCGCCAAGATCTCCGCCGCATCCGGCGCGGAGCTGTGGTCTCGCTTGCCATCTGACGCCCGCAGCACCTCAGCCTGCCTCTTCAGCCGCTCGGCCTCCCTCTTGTTCTCGTGGCTCACATAGGTGCCATACCGCAGCGTGCCCAGCGTCAGCACGGCCATGAAGAGGATACCCAGGACCGATCGCCGGATGAGCACCCAGCGCAGGCCTTCGATCTCCGACTTGGCGTCGCTGCTCAACGAGATGCTGATCTTGTAGTTGATCTGCTGAATCTGCAGGCCTGTGTCAGTGTCCGACAGAGTGTTCTCTGCTGCACAGAGAGAGGGGGAGGGGGGCCGCGGTACGTACAATGCTGTCGACGCCCTTCTGCTCCTCGCTCACGGCAATCTTGCGGTCGTTGAACATGCCGCGCACATTGTCGTTCAGCGTGAGGACCTCCTGGCTCAGCGACTGCGTCAGGATGTCCACCTCGTGCTGCAGCAGGGTCCGCTGCTGCCTCATCTCCTCGTCGGCGATGCGCTGGTTGTTCTTGACCTCGGTGCTGAGCTCCGAGCACGCGGCGCGGAACAAATACGTCTCCTATCGAACTGTGTCAGCACAGGTCCAGCCCTGCTCTCGCGCGGCGCCGACGAATGCGCGGCGCCCCCCTCCCAGAGGCAGCCACGTCCACTCACGTTCTCGACGTCGCTCTTGCTGACGAGGCTGTCCTGCGCCACGTCCAGGTTCTGCGCCAGGATCCGCAGCACGGCCTTCATCACCGACGTGGCCTGCACCTCAGAGTACCCGCCAGCCTGGAGCTGCCGCACGAGCGAGTAGCTGTCAAAGTGGTGGACGTAGGGCGGCGGCGACAGGTGAGGGTGCTGCCGCGCGCCGCCCTCCTCGGTGCCGGGGTCGGGCATCTGCAGCATAGCCTCCAGCGGTCCGCTCTTCTTCGCATCCTGGCGCGCCTCCTCGCGGGAGTCGGACGCGGCCGCATCCTTGCCTTCGACGTCGGACTCGGCGTTGGTGTCGGCGGGGGCCTTTGCTGTTGGAGGTGGCGGCTGTGCCTCGGCGGCTGGCTCGGTGATCGTCGTGGTGGTGGTGGCGGCGGCGGCGGCGGCGGCGTTGGCGAGCTCCGAGTCCTTGGCGAGCGCTTCGGGGCTCGGAGGCGCGAGGGGAGGCCTCATCTCGTCATCTTCGGCCGGTGCGGGCAGAGGCTCGACGGCCTTGCCGTGGCGGCGGGCGACGGGGGCGCGCGGTCCGAAGGCTGTCGAGAAGACGGCGCGCTGGCGTTTGGGGTCGGCGTAGCGCTTGCGGCATGTCCTTGTGGCCTGGGCGACGCCGGTGCCGACCCGTAGAGGACGGAACAGAGGCGGGTAGAGAAAGGTCAGGCGCGCTGTCGACATGGTTGTGTTGTGTGCAGGTGTTCGAAAAGGAATGGCTGAGCCATGCCTTGACCATGACGTTGGACAAACATGGATCGAGACTCGGCACTTGCCTCTGGTTGGGTCGGTCCGATGACCGCTAAGGCGGAGCGGAATCAATCACGTGGCAGCGGGAGCGGGTCAACCAGCATGGTAATCAACATGACACTCTCTTTTGAGGGCTCTGAAGATCTTTCGAAGAACTTTTCGAAGAATTTTTTGATCAGAAGAATTAGCAGCATCATTGTCAACCGGCAATGCCCTTGCGACATGTCCCGCCATAGGCAGCCCCAATGGTCTGTGGGGGGCGAACCCGATGTTCCCATGATGCTGCTTCCGGCGCCCCCCCCCCCCCCCCCAATCCCTCCCCACTGTCTCCAGCACAGCAGTTTTGTGCTGGCCCCTCACATCCGCTACTACGCGACTACAGGAATGGAGAGAGAGTGTAGGGTCTGGCCCGCATCTGCTACACGACTACCGAGATGCAGAGCGTATAGTCTGGTCCGGGTCCTCCTCGGAGGTCTCATCTTCAGGACGCGACCAAGATGAGCCCGACACATTGAGGGTCTCGTCGTTCTTCGGCGACTTCTAGCTGCCAACGTTCCCGACAAGGTCTGCAGTCTTTGTGGTCGCTCGGCCATTCAAAGAGCTCGGCGTCTCAATGTTGTTGAAGTCCCTCTGCCGACAGTAGTTCTTCGCGTTCTCGCCCCCGAAATTTTCTTCGAGCCAAGCAGTGAACTTTTGCTCGTCCTTGAAGTAGTCCTCTATTGAAGTAGTCTAGAGGAATTCATCCCTCGAATTGGTCGATTTCGTCGACTGCGTACCAGTCGATGGGTGAGACGGGGTGTGGCAGTAGTTCGACCACAGGTGTGTAGTTGACTTCCTTGCACCCAACGGTGGCAAGCTTCCAACCTCCAATGACGACGACGCGGGGTTTCGATACTGCATTGACGACCTTGGCTGGCGCTGGGGAAGAGATCATGACGCGCTCGGGCATGATGTTACCGTAAACGACTCCAGTGTGTCGCATTTTTTTTGACTCCATGTCAAAAAGTTCTTTCATGACTAGCATGCGCTGGGTATCGTTTCCCGCATGAGGGTCTGGGACAAGCGCAGGGATGCGGTTGTACGGCAGGGTACACAATGCGCCCATCGTCGAGCCGTCAATGTACCCCAGGAGAATGAGGCACATGGGTCTATACTTGCCCGCGATGTGGCTGCGCATGGGCATCGTGAAGGCGCCGTAGCTCTTTGGTGCGAATTGGCCGTCCGTCCCTATCGTCTTGAAGTGCTGGTAGACGGCGGCCTCCCTGCTGAGATCAATGTGCGCCTGCGTGACAACATCGCTGGCATACGGGAGAGCGCAGCCCAGGAAAGGGTAGCAGAGCGGGTCGTAGATCTTGGCAACAACGCGAGCTGGGATGCCTTTGTTCATCTGGCCCAGATTGAGTTGACAAACGACAGTCTGTGAGAACCTCTCCTTGGTGGTCTTGATGGTCTTCTCGATGGTCAGGCCGATGTGCTGAGAAGACTTGGTACGATCATCCGTTGGCCATGAGGCACCACGGGGAAGACACTCGGCGACCAGCTGAACTTCTTGTCTTGTGCTGCTTGATCACGGCATCGCCATCGAAAGTCGAAGAGGATCAGACGGGCGATAGTAGGAAGGACCATCGAATGGTTCAGGCGCCTCGTGGGGAGTGATCGTCAACTTGCGGCCTTGGTGCTAGGGGAAGTCTTGAGCGTGGTAGGTGGCCAAAGGAGGCATCCACGGATGGTTGGCCATGACCATGTCGCTAGAGCAGGAGGTAAGTCAGCGAGAACCGGGTCAGGGGGTATCGTATGGAAGGCGTGACCTGACAAGTCTTGCGTTCGTGTGGCTAGGGTCTTGGGAGGTGCTGAAGTAGGCAGGGAAAGGCTGGAAGAGGTGATGAAGAGGACGACCCTGCTGGCAAAAGTTCAAGTTGTCAGCAGAAGAAAAATGTCAGCAAAAAAGAAAAATGAATTGCTGTCAGACAGTGAATGCCGAGAAGGCAGCGTGGGAAAGTATTGTTTCTTGTAGAGGGGAAGGCGCATTCATTATCGAAAGGCGTGCAGACGACAATTGTATATCTGGCGTGCGGGGCGCCCCAGGTATTCAGATACCTGGATGAATGTCTTGGGTTGCTCATTGTGTCACGGGGAAGGATGAGTAAATTGAAGCCTCCCAAGTTGCCCGCCGCTCGCCGTCGTTTCTCAACATGTGCAAATCATGTCAGTAGAGTTCCGTTCATCTAAGTATCTATGTTTGAAGGCCCTGATATCTTGCACTCTATGAATGACGTGCCGTATCTACAGTGTTCCTGTCTTGAGATCTGTTCAACTCAGTGGCAATCAGTCGCGGAAGCAAAGTAAGGCAGACCATACAGCGCTCCATAAACGTAGGCAGGGAAACGAGAGACTGTCACCGGAGTTTTTTGATTCACTGCCTTTCCATTCACTGTACGTACCTACTGCCTTCCGTCATACGATGGTTGGCAGCCTGCAATGGCCGGTGTATGACCATTCTCGAGGAGTTTTCAGCACCTCCATTCACAACCTGCCCCTTTTCGTGTTTTTTTGTTGGGTTGAACAAACAGAGAATGCTCGGACACCCTGACTAGGATAGCTAGCTGCCTTTCCAAGATGCCAGGTTTTCGCGGCTTCGAGCTTCCACGCCTTCCCCCCCATGCTTCTTCTACCAGAACAACGAGCTTCCCAAGAACGTCCCGTTTCCACATCCTACGCGAACTTCCGGTACCTGCTCGATATATATTCTGCTCACTATGACTCCTGCTTATGAAAGTCTGGCTCGTCTTCAAGCAAACAACGTGAGTATCATCTTTGACGTCAGCCTTTCTCTTGTCGCAATCCTCCATTTCATTGAAAGCCGATGAAGAGAAAACCGAATCAAGCCTACCAACACCACAATGGCCTTTTTGCCCCCCGTCACAATCCTCAGCCTCGTCCATGATCGGATTCGCCCCGAGAAACTCTTCAACGAAGACACCGACGATCCGCCCCTACATAGCGCTCCCCAGAGCAGTACCAGTTGGTCCGCCGAGCTAATGAAGCCTGTCGTTGTGGCTTTGGAGCGGCCGGTCGAAAACTACCTCCGCATCTACGCCAGCTTTTATAACGTCACCCAGCAGCGGGCCCCTTCGGGCGAGCTCGCGAACAACGCTCGATAGGTCTGGACCCGCCTGAGCACCGAACATCATCTCCTGACTGATCACTCCGCATCGATCATCAGCGAACACGATGTCGTCCGAGAGTCTGCCAAGCATATGCTGCACCCGGTGCATCAGGTCATGGTGCTGTTCGGCGCAGTGAAGAGTGCGGGGCGCCATGACGGTGTTCATTTCGAGGTCCGCACCATCGGCGAAAGCGAAGTCACTTCCATGGATGGAGTCACGGCCAACGGCGCGCCTGCCATGCTGGAAGGCCGCCCGGACATGCTGTTGGTACGTTGCGCGACCGGGCAGCAGCCCGTCAACTCTGGTGGCCGCCGCGGGCCTGCCGAGAAGATCCCTATTGACGACCGGCCGTGATTACAGGACAACGATAGGAGCTATTCGGGAGTGCAGTTGACGCTGCAGGCTCTGCTGGGCTTCTTCTTCGAAGCCATGGAAGATTACCCCCCCCCCCGCGACAGCAAGCCGGATGGAACTCTTGGTGTTTGATACCAGGAAACAACCAGGACTGCTGCAGGTCGACGATACCATCGGAGGGCGCCGGGGGACATGGACTGCCGGGTGGTGTGGGCTACTGGAGGCGCGCCGGAAAACGGAAAGCATGGTTGTCATCGGGAGTGCAAGTGAACAGCACGGGCGATGGCCTATGTTGCCATGTGGAATCCACCCCA